AATACGGTGCCCTCCAAACATCTCTCACCAAAGCGAGGGCTAGATAGGAAACGCTTGAGGAGTATTTACTCTGAAAAATCAGTTCTTTTACATGTGAATGTACAACTGTATCCATACAATTTTTATTTCTCAACACTAACACAGAAATCAAGATTCAGCAGAAAGGCTAATTCACATGATATAGGCACTCAGCAGCAAATCCTGCACTTCAAAAATCAAAAATACAAACGTGGTTTGTTACTCTTCCACATGGATGTTTTCCACTGATATCTTTAGTGTCCCAGTTGGAATAAATGGAATAAATATGTAACTAAACTTGCATCTAAGACTACTGTTGCCTGTAGCCTGCATGAAGGTCAAAAGAGACTGACCACTGAAAACATAGATGTGAAAGAATAAGACTAATTAAATTAATCCAATATTTATGTGACTGTTGCATCTTCTAGAACCACAGCTAGGAACTGGCTGTTAATATTCTGTTTAACACGTCCGATTGGTTAGAACCACCAATAACTTGCACGTTTGATTTGTTTAGTTCTTTTAAGTAGAGGGAAATGACCTAATTTTTCTGATATAAATTTCACAGGCCAGTTACTCTAAAGTGCATTTGTATGAATAAAAACTACTTACCCAGAGGGACATTCAAAAAGGCATTTCAGACAAAAGAAGCCCCAGTGTCAAATATTTTAGACATTAAAACATAGAACAGCTGCATGTTCTCAGTGAGGTAGTGTCTGGAGCAAGAAAGCGAGTTTGAAAACGTGTACGTCAATGAACTTCATTTTTTGCAATTATGATGTATAAAGATGGTGTAAAAATAAATTATAGCACTGATAAGCGCAGCTGTAATGTCTGTTTGAATAATTTACTTCTGAATAGTTTTAAATACAATGTCTCAGTCTAAGTCCCTTATACATTATACATATCTGGCACAGTTTTTCCTTCAGAGAGAGGATTCACTACTGAAACACGGTAGTTACTTTTTAGTTTGTTAGGACAGTGGAAGAGAATTCTCTCTTGAAAATACACTTTTATATAGATTTCCCAGCAGCTGTAACAGTGCCACATTTAATAACAGGACAACTCTGAGTACCTCTATAAAAGCTGTGAAGTATCATGCCTCTACACCACAAAAGTTAGGAGAGCAATATCATTACGTTTCCAACAGAATAGCAAAAGTTTGCAGGTCACACTTGTCTAAACACAAGTTTAATATTCTTTTCATATGTTTGCTGACAGACTGGCACCTGTCTCTCTGCTGATGCTGTAGAGTGAAAAAAAAACCACAAACACAAACAAACCAAAGCAAAAACAAAACACACACAAAAAACCCCACAACACACACCAAACACATTCAGTCCTATGCTCCAGCATCCTGGCTCTTCTTCCAACACAACTTTAGCTGACTCAAAGCAGTTTATCCAGAAAAGCAGTGCAGGAAAGTCAGTAGTCATCCCAAGGCCCTATTTTGGATGTGTCAGATTACCACCTTAAGTATCATTAGATTTCCAATACAGAAGAGCTATCTGTAAATACATCCTACACACACCAAGATGACTGAAAAAATATGATCAGTAGCTCCTTCCATACTACACAGCCACTCCAACCCATGGAAAAACACAGACTGTTAAACAAACCAAAAAAAGTGTTATTGCCTATAAGCAAGAGTACGCACCCAGGATTAACACCACCTCTGAACGTATAAGCACAGCACAGGACAGAACCAACTGTGCATCAAATCCACTTCCCTGAATTTTAAGGCAACAATGTAACAGGAATTTTCCCAATACTTTCCACAGATCATCTTCTCTACTGAAAGGAAGATGATCCATAGATGCATCAGATTTGCTCAAAATCCAACAACACACTTAGAGACTTTAAGAATCAGCTGTGGATGTAGCACAGAAAGAGCTTCAAGAACTGTGCCAACATAGAAAACCTTTCAATAACAAAATCTGTTTGCAGTACAGCATCCTCAAAGCACAACGAATGAGCAGGTACAGCAGTCCCTGTCCAACACTAACAGAATGAAGCTTGGAGGCAGGATGAAATCCTATTTGCCACAGGACTTTCAAAGTGCTTCCACATGTTCTGTAGTATTTTAAAAATAATAAATCTGTGCTAGCACTGTACAAACACTAACTCTGGGCAAAACATAAATGGTCAAATTCAAGAAGTTAAAACACACACGAACTTAACACTATGAGAGTGACACGTCTTTCACCCATCAAACTTTGACGATCTTTCTCTTTTACAAGAGAAACCAAAAGCCAACATTCCCTATTCTGCCTTTCACTAGTCTCCTCTCTCCAAATAAAAAAAAAAAAAGAATGTTAAGAGTCTTACCTAAATAAAATAACAAGCATTAGGAGAAACAAAGCCTTCAACATGGCTGCTACTACATTAGTTTCACGTATTTTACTTTCATCCAGAAAACCTCAGAGACAAGTGTAGAGACATTTGTTAACAATTCTCAGATCTTCACCTGCTCTACAGGTAAAGTCTTCATCCCTGCAAAAGCCAGACTCCAGTCTTTCCACTCAGCTATACTTTGAGCTCTGAAAAACTATGGCCAATGATTTTTAGAGAGTGGGCAAGGGAGACCATATAGACTAAGGACAGACTAACACATCTCCCAACCCACCCACCCCTCTACCCCCACTGAAACATATTAAACTGTAGCTGAGCAGCTGTACTACAGGTAATGGGCCACTCTGGAATTCTCACTCAGGAACTTTAAGAAAATGAAGATACTTTCACCATGTTTCAGGCTTGAGTGTATTCCTATTCATTAACCATTTTTCCCAAAATATCTCAGTTTATTCTGCTCCATTGAAGAGCATCAGGAAGAAAAGTCACCCCATCAGATATTTAAGGACATAGGCGACCGCATACTTTTCCTGGAATGTATTAATTTCCGAAAAATACCCAAGAACAGTGTGACAGGATACTCTCCCTCAATAGCACAAAGTTCTATTCTTTTTGCAAGCAAAATATAGTACCACCCACTAAACCGATGACTCTACATCTGGTTTATCTCGTTCACCCACAATGGCATACTTCCTGCCTGTATCTATTAAACACCAGTTAACACCCACTTTGCATCCCAAGCCTAATAAAAATTTCCACTACTGCCCATCTCAAGGCACAGTATTTTGGAAGATAAATATTAATCGAATAAACTAAAATGCCTCTTAAATGTGAAATTATTCTGATTTCAAGTTTTCATCTAATTGCAAATTCTTTAAATTTTAACAGTCTACCCTTCTGACCAAACCAAGAAATGTATGAAAGATGTGTTTACTTCAGAGTATTTTTTCCAAAGAACAAATTAAATTAATTCAGTGAATTCCAATATAAATTGGGCAAATAAGGGTAAACAAGTCCCATTATGACGACAGGATGCAAAGACTCTTCCATTTCAATGCCTCTTCAGCACAGAACAGCCCAAAACCTTTTTCATGTGCCCAGAATAGATGAATACTTCATTTAAATACAGGAAACATTTGTCATTAGAAGTGCAAGTCCTGACTTCGAGTTAAATAAAGGTCAGTCTAAACAGCAAGAAGTGGTTCACACCCTTTGTGTTCAGGAAAGGATTGAAAAAAAGCTTTGAGTAAAACTAAATACCTAGAAATTGAGCATTTTGCTTTTCAATCTGTGTAATCACTAAATTATTTAAAAAATAACAATCTTCTAGATAACAGCTCTGTTCTCTCCCAGACAGTGTTAAACCTTAACTTGAGTTTGAGCTTCCACTGAGCAGTTACTCACTTTCAAAGCTCTGGCAAAACACCATCTCTGTGTAGTATTGGATTACAGTTCCTTCCTTCTAGCAGAAAACTGACACAAGACAAAGACAAATAAGCAAGCAACCATAAAAAACTGTAACATTATATACACTTGAGTATATGCAAAAGCACACATAAGCAACTATAGTTGGGTACAATAGGGCATGAACTTAGCGTGAAAGTTATCTCAAATTTGTTGTATATCTGCATATACTCAGAGCTTTACAAAAATATGTAACAGTCAGTTTCCAGAGTTCCACCTAGCAACAACACCTGTTTAACTATCCGACAGGTTTACTTTAAGAATAATACAGACAAAAACTAATAAAAGGTCCTAGGTGTCCGAACCTTAGAGTGTTTTCCTTGCGCATAGATATTTAATTCGTTAGCTTTCCTGTCATCTGCTTACAATCTATTGTAGAGTTAGTATTAGTGCCTCGAGGAAGAAAGCTTTTGATTACAAGGGGAGCATATGCAACAAGACACTTTAAATTTCATACTTATCTTTATTATTATATTATTCTAAAATAATAAAATATTATTGTTTCTTTAAAAAAGGGGAAGGAGAAATGGTGACACAAAAGAAAAGACTTATTTATAATACTCCAATAATCTGGAACGAGTTCTCAGAATTCAAAAAGGCAATTTCAGTTTCACATGCATTAATAGTCTGTAATACACACACACACAAAATCAGCACAGAAGACACTCTGAAGTTAGCAAGTGCTATATACCTCAAGCACTGGAAGGAAACCCAGGTGTTACTCGGCAATGTTTTCAATTATCAAAAGGGAGGAAGGATTACTTTTCCAAGCACAACCCACTTCTTACCTTACAAGTCAAACTGTAACTCCACTTTTAACAGAGAGCTGAGTACCTTTCCCTGCAATCCAAGAGGTCTATCATTTCTGCTCTTCCAGAAAAATGAAGACAAATATTATATTACTCCTCTGCCTAGCTACATGATTTATTTCAACTAGATAATAATATAGGATCTCTCAGACAGTGATTTTCCAAGGCATTTGTCACATGAGTCATCTGGCTTTAAAAAAAAAAAAAGCCACATTCTTTGCCATGAGAGCTGACTGTAAAATAGGTCAGTGTGTAATGAAGCATGCTGCTGGCTTGTGCTGGCCAAAAATACCCCCAAATAATAATTCACGGCAAGAGTACCTCATGGATATCCGAAAGAAAGGCAGAAACTCTTACCTTAACAGGAAAGCTACACTTGCCAGTACGAACGCCTTCTTCATCAGTCTGCCACTGATGAGGCCTACTGGCCTCTGGGACATAGACATCTTTCTTTCTCCTAAAGCTCTGCCGTAATTTGTTCATTTCTCAGATTTTCACGTCCTAGAAAAAGAAAAAAAGAATATTGCCAATAGGCACCAAACCATACATTTAGCCGCTTCGGGTCAACCACTATCATGACAAACGTCCCTGTGAAAAATCTGAGTTTCTGCAAATATGAATGGAGGTACCTGTGGAAGGAAAATATTTTGGACATAAAGTCAGAGAAAGATAGATATTCATTTCTAAATGGAAAACACAAATTCACATTACTTGTTTAATACCTTTCCACAGCAACTGAAGCATTAGACCCAGGAATAACTATTACTCTGAGCATGAGGTTACCTAAAATAGCCGACGGAAAAGCTCTGAAGAGTGATGCGCATGAAATCCTGCCTCCCGGAATTTAAACACCTACCTAGAGCAATCAAGCAGCACACCAGGAGCACAAACTTCCAAGGCACCCATGCAAGACAAGGATTCACAGACCTAAGACACTCCTAAAATTAGGTGCCTGTGCTGTTAAGTACAGGTGATAGGTTCGTGCTTTTCTGGAGGGGCACAGTCCAGCCCCCCTTAGTCTAGTGGTAGCTGATCTTAGGTTTAAATAAGAAACGCACTGAGCTGACTTCCACGTCCTGCATAAATCTCTAAACAATTACGTCTTCAAAGGGGAGAGAGAGAGTTCTGTAATTACACTTCCAAAGCCTAGAATTAGATGCTTTTTATACACTATTTTCTTATGTATCAGATTTTATATACAAGCCAATCTATCCTTAGACACACTCACCTTTACTAGATCCAAACTACAATTAGCCAAGGAGCTAATCAGAGAAAGTACTACTAATAAAAGGACTCAATATTCAGCTACAGAAGTAAAATCGTATCGAATACAATGCGGGGAATATAGGAAACGTGCTGAAAGGCTTCTTGAGATATAGATTCATAGATTCATAGATTTCTAGGTTGGAAAAGACCTTAGAGATCATCCAGTCCAACCGTCCCTAATTCCCCATTAAACCATATCCCTAAGTAGTTCATCCACCCTTTTCTTAAACACATCCAGGGATGGGGACTCAACCACCTCCCTGGGCAGCCTATTCCAGTGGCTGACAACCCTTTCAGAGAAGAAATTCTTTCTAACATCCAACCTGTACCTCCTCTGACTAAGCTTATACCCATTTCCTCTTGTTCTATCACCCATCACTAATGTAAAGAGCCCTTCCCCTACCTCCCCACCATCCCTTCTCAAGTATTTGTAGGCCGTAATCAGGTCTCCCCTCAGCCTCCTCTTCTCCAGGCTAAACAGCCCCAACTCCCTCAGCCGCTTCCCATAAGTTTTATTTTCCAGCCCCTTGACCAGTTTAGTCGCCCTTCTCTGGACCCGCTCCAGGAGCTCAATATCTCTCTCAAAGAGAGGTGCCCAAAACTGGACACAATATTCCAGATGTGGCCTCACCAGTGCCGAGTACAGGGGCAGGATCACTTCCCTGTTCCTGCTGGTTACACTATTCTTGATACACGCCAGTATCCCATTGGCCTTTTTGGCCACCTGGGCACACTGCTGGCTCATATCAAGCCGGTAGTCAACCAACACCCCCAGGTCCTTCTCCACCAGGCAGCTCTCCAGCCACTCTTCCCCGAGCCTATAGCGATGCTTGGGGTTTTTATACCCCAAGTGAAGGACTCTGCACTTGGCCTTATTAAAGCTCATGCAATATTGCTGCTCTTTCTTGAAAAACCACCCTTCTTACAACCACGATGTCTCACTTTATCATAAAAAAGATGCTGCAGAATGCAAGGCAACAAAATCTAACTGGATTATATATACTTATTTCCCATCAGATTAACTAAGGTACAGAACATAGGTGTTTATGGGTGTCAATAGGTGGCCTTTGAATGAAGGCAGCTTTAAAAGTAGTTTGAAGACCATTTTAAACCCTGAAAATATCTAGTGTTTTCCAGTTAAAATTATTTGACATAGGTGAGAAAAATCAACACGTTCATATTTGTAGTATCTGACATTTAAGAAGCTTAAATTCAAAATGCAACAATTTCAAAGCTGAACAGAAGTCAAAAATTAAAAGCATTACAGAAAATCACTACCCACTACTACTTCTGCTCAGTCAAATTAAAAAACTAAATTGTTTTCATATCTCATGATGCACTATAATCATTCCAAGTAACAAAAAGGTGTGAGTTTTGTCACTGACTCCCCAAACCCTCCTTCAGCAACCGTTACTCCACTCCTCAAGCTCTGAGCCATCAGCCAAGTCAGTTCCCACTGTATCTTACAGGCATGGCATTGGCTCATTTCTCTAGAATCTTCCATTTTTCAATAATCTAGGAATTAAAAGTAGTTTTGTAAAATAAGTAATAATTTAAAGATAGACCTACATCAGATAAAGAGCACATCACTATATCACTAAAACTGGGAAACTTAAATGTGATGTTAATACTTGTTGAAGTGCAAATAAGCATGCTACTCACATGCATGAGTTAAGTGACAAATGAACGCAAGGCTGCCTGGTCTTGTGGCATTGCGGGGCATTCTTTCAGCACAAGGGATAATTCCTGAAGTATTTCTACACTAGCGAAAAACAAAACCAAACAACTTTTGCAGCAAACACCAGCGCTCAAAGCTGCTCAATGAGCATTTGAAAGCAAGTAAGTATGGCACTCCAAGCAACCCAAATCTCTCTTGCAAATTAAGTGAAGGGTTTAGATGCATGGCAAAGGCTAGACTTTGACTGTCCCTGGAATGTAGCATGCACCTAGAATATCTAACAAAGAGTGTAAGAGCCTGAGATAAGAAGTTGCTCAGGGATTCTCAATCACAATGGCCTAGTTATAGAGCAGTGTCAGCTTCATCCCTTCGTAACTGCGAACTGCCTGACGTAACCAGTAACATAAAATATTTTCTTGAATTTACTTGATAGGATTTAGAGACTAGAACATGTGCGCAAAATAAAATTTAATGCACATCTCTTATCATTAAACAAGCTGAAGCAGCTCCTCTACAACCACAGTTTCTTTATTTTACAAGGTAAAAGCCATTTAAAAATATTTGAATGTGCAAAGGCAATTCTGGAAGTTTTAAGAGGAAGTGCAAGGCTTCTATTCTCCATTAAGGGTCAGAGAGGCATTAGAGCAGTAGTAGTTACGCATTTTGCTTTACAAACTGCAGACAAAGTAGTCTGTGCATCACTCAGTCTAAAGGAACGAGAATTTCAAGGGGGCTGTTCAGTCACCTCAGGCAGGTGACATGTACTGCAGCAAACCAACTCTTGTCCCTGCTGAAGACTGGCAGTGCCGCAGCACGATGAGCAAAACAGCTGCTCCAGCTGTTTCAGTGCAAAGCTCAGGAGTCTGGTCAGCACATAGCTTAAAGCCCGGTTGTCCAGCCTTGCACTCTGGTGACTGAGAAATGGGCACAGATACTCCCTTCTGCCAAAAAGGGCAACTGACTCCTTAACTGATACAGAGTACATCTGCAGGTATTCTGAGTATGATCAACTAAAAAACGCTTTGTAGAAATTTCAAATCTACAAACAAAAAAACCAACCTGTGGAAAAGTTTTCAAGGTAACTCTGAATCTCAAAAGCTTCAGTAAGTAAAAAAACAAGAACAGAGAAGAGCACACAGCCACCATACTGCTTATCATAAGGCAATTAGACTGTGTTTTCACAACAATTGCTTATGTGAGCATTGCCTTGAACTTCTCCCAGGAGACTTTGCTTTTGCCCCTGAGACTGGTACCTTATCGGAGATTTATTCCAACCAGGAATCACAATCCAGAGAGGAGGATGAGAACAAGAGTTCCTCAACTACACTTCCTATGAGAAGCTGAAGTGGCATTTTGCCCAAAAGTATTTCCTTTTCACTGAAAACCAAACCCATTTTCCTGCACGCTCTAATTTTGAGGTCATGTTGGCAACAAACGGTTTAAAAATAGCTTATTCTATTTAATAGAAATGCTGACAAATAGCAAGATTAATTTCTGGCCAGGCAACCAGAGAGCTTTCTCCAACTGCCTTACTTGAATTTTCTGAGATATCAGACTGTTTCAAGTAGGCTGCAAAACAGTTTGCCCTATAAACACCTGATTTGATGGTAACATGCATGTCAGCCCAATATAACTAGAATTGCCAACTGATGGGAAAGAGTTTAAGTAAAACAATTCATGCAGGCTGCATATTTGAGGATTCAGGAGAGAAGCACATGAATCGCTGCAATTAAGTGCTGAAATTTCTACTAATTTTGTCTGGAGCTCGAAATCCCTGTGCAGGAGCTCTAGAGGAAAATGAGTGAGCGTTTTCTACCTGAATTTTTTGCAGTGCACTGCACATTTCCATACGTGCGTAGCATGCCTGCTGACACAAGAAGAGACACCAACCTAGGCTGCAACAAGCTAGCAGGGTGTTTTCTGCTGGATCACTGGATGCTGGAAAAGGTTTTATACTCTGTCTTGGGACTAAGTAGGCTGAAAGTTATCTGTCCCTGATTTTTCTTTATTTATCAACCGTCTTCTGTCCTGTAATTTAAAATATTTTAAAAAGCCCCAAGAAGAAACAAACTAAACCACCAAAGACATTATTTCCTTTTCACTTTTACAACCCCAAATCCATCTTAGGTCCAAAGAAACGGAGAAACAGTACTTGGAGACAAACCTGGTGAAAAGCCAAGATGGGAAACTCAAAATCTAATTAAGTCTCAAAACCTGGCGTTGTATCAGAGACAAATCAGTAACAAAGGCTGAAAGCACAGAGATCTTCAGGAGAGAAAATAAACAGTCACTTTGGGTTACATTATCTCTACTAGGAGGCTAACTGCACACAGCTCGACATCTGAATGGCCATGTCCACTGACGAAAAAAGAAAAAAAAAAACACCAAACAAATGAGAAAAAAAAAAAAACAACCACACCACAAGAAAACCACCACTTTTGCAATCCAAGAGATTACAACATGAGACTAAATATTAGACCAGTTCCCAAATCACCATATAAGTATCTACAAAAGGCATGGAAAAGACAAGTGTTATTCACATAATGAGTTTATAAATGT